AGGAGAAAGGGGTTAGTGTGCCTTACAGTTCAAGAGTGTGGCTTGTCTCATGGATATTCTAGATTCTGTCAAATTGGCAATAATAACTATCACAAGTCTACCCCTTGTCTTCACAATATCTAAACATATCACTTTTATTTTTTAAATGTTTTTATTATTTTTATTTTATGTGCATAAGTGTATTGCATGTAAGTGCACCTGTGTTGTGTAAAGCCCTTGGAGGTCAGAATAGGGCATTGGATTCCCCTGGAACTGGAGTTATGTAAGGTTGTTAGTTACCATATGGGTACTGGGAATTGGACCTGAATCCTCTGCAAGAGCAGCCAGTGCTCTCTACCACTGAGCCATCTCTCCAGACCCATAAATCAGTTTTAAACCATAACTTTCTTTTTTCTCTCGCATAGACTCATGGCCATCTCATATTGCAACTCAGTCCAACTTCAAAAGTCCCTATAGAGTGTATCAGTTTCAACACTGTTTAAAAGTCCAAAGTCCAAAGTCTCTTCTGGGACTTATGGTATCTTCTTAACTCCAAGTTCTTGTAGTAACAAAATTTCACAAATGTTTAACATATAATGGCTCGAAGTAAGCACTCCCATTACAAATAGGAAGAATTGAGGCACAGAGGTGTGATCAGATCAAAGCAAGACTGAAACTGGCTGTTTCAGACATTTTTCAACAAGAATACCAAATCCTGTAGATCTAGATTCTGCTGGGCTTGTACTGACATCATCTGGCGTCCAGAAGTCTTGGGTAGTGTTACCCCTCTAACTAAGATGCCTACAGCATACAGAACCTCTTTCTTAGGTCATCTCCACTTAAAGTCTGAAATTTTCATTGGCTCATGGTCCCTCGTCCTGACAGCTCCATTGTGTTGAGGTCTCCACTGAAACTTGAGTTTCATCTTTGCTATTTCATGCAATGGTCTTTCAGGTATTCGTCCAGGAGTCCAATCCTTTCACAAAATGACTAGGCTCATTTTTTCTTTGAAACTGTGGAGCAAGATACCATGAAGCACTCAGTCCTACATCTTTCATTCCTGCAACACAGGAACTGTGCGGATGCGGATGCTACTGCTAGTTCAGTTAACAGTTCAGAATATAGCTAGAATGATCTCTAGCCCAATTCCCCTGTCTCCTGATTGGCTGGTTCCTCCAATGGGTGGGGCCTGACACGGAGTGGGAACTAGGAAAGGAAGCCAGGACCCATCTTGGGATGGAAGCCAGGAGCCACAGGTAGAGCATTCAAAGACAGAATGGACTGACTCCCTGTGGACCTGGGGTGAGATCACTGACCCCAAGGTGTGAACAAATTTAGCGGGGCTATGGGTGTGGCATGGTCTGATAAGGCGGGCTCTGAGTTGTGGAGGGACGGGCTAGGCACTGGGTA